CAGCAGGAAGTATTAAAAGTACTCGAAGTAACAATTCTAACGCAGATGGAGAATTATAAGGTACAATGCTAAGCAGTTCGTCAACTATACTTTTATTTTTTTCTCTGTTTTCTGCACTGTAAACGTTGACCACAAATGCAGCTAACTGAAATTAGAGCACGTTAGATAATTTATGACTATAATGAATTATATGCAAATGTTAGCTAATTATTTGCAACACACACACCCCATATCTTTTTATTAAATTATTAAGAAAAACAAAATATGTATATATATATATATATAAATTACCGCTTGACAAAGCTTTGCAAGAATAAATGTAGGGGTGTTGGTTCCTCTCACACTATTGAGCAAACGTTCCCTTAACATTGGATACTCAATTTGAGGCACTTCATCCCACTGTTTGGATATCTTTGCATGTAAAGTTGTCGCCGCAAAAAATTGCACTTCAAATGACTGAAAAATAATGTAAATCAAAAAAGGTCAACTAATTCTAGATCACTGTTAAAACACTCAAAATATTTCCAACTTATTTTCTGATTACAGCTACATTGTTTTCTTGTTCAAAAATAGTGTCAAAAGTTATCATCTGACTCTGCTTGTAACATTCCTAAAGTATAGAATTACAGAACCATCGGGAAAAAAAGAACATTATAAGCGAGTTATAAAAGAAGTAGATGTAATAAGAGAAGATAAATTAGAAGCTTTGTAAGAAAGAAGACCTTAGAGGGATCCAAAAGTTGCCATACAAAGTGCCAGGCCTCGGGAGAGGCTTGCACTTGCAAAAGCCATGAATGAGCCTCATTGTTGCCCGCCGAGTAGAATTGCTTGACTGCGTCGTCGACAATCGTTGCATAATCCATTCCAAGCGTCTCGTGCTATGTCGTTTCGACAACGTTCGATATCCGTTGTTCTTATTAGGGCAGCGTACGCCCTACAAGGAAATCCAACACACCGGTCAGGACGTCGTTTGTGCGTCCAATTCGTATTACTGATCGCGCATTTTTCCAATTTTTTATCATCTTACTTTGCGAGATTCAATAGAGCGCTTCTCACCCGCACGATAACATAACATTGCACAACATAAGCCTGATCTAATCTAACCTAAACTGACCTAGTCTTACTTACCGCGGCCATGTTTTATGTATGTAACATAGAGTAACGACTTAAAGTTAAAAATGTTTCCAATCATTTGATTGGCCAAGCAGGAGGACAAAGATTTTTTTATTCTGATTGGTCGATGCCAAACATTTAGAGTCTTTTAGGAAAATACGCGACCCTCGCCAATGGCAGAGCTCGAAAAGTAAATTGTTTGTTTATGACGTTGTCGTGACGGTCTGAGAATGATGAAGAATGATTGAGAGAGACAAGCTTGAAAACTTGAAATCGTAAATTATACTGTGAAGAGTCATGATGTCAAAAACAACGTTTGTGTAGTTAAAAAATGAAACGAATTGTGTCGTGACGTTTCGTGAGGGGCCTCCTGTGCTTAATTGAAAAACGCTCAAGGTTTAAAACTCTCGTTGAGAAATATCCGCGTATCCAAATGGTTACGATCTCGCATTATTATAACCTACGCCGTATATGCGAACTTTGTATCAGCTGATGGGCTCAATGTAACTACGCGCACAATTTTCCGCCGGATTGTCCAAACATTTCGTTTCCACAACTCACCGGAGGAAAATTTCGTCATGGCAGATCTCGCTTTAGGGGAGCTCAGTAGTGATCAGACTGAGAAAGTACTCCAATTCCAGGTACTTTTATCGTCGGGCTTTTCATTTTAAAGTCACGAGAATCGACATTTATCCTCGTATTATCATGACATGACATAACGATTGTTTCCAGGATCTCACCGGTATTGAGGATCTATCAGTATGCAGAGATGTTTTGCAGAGACACAACTGGAATCTGGAGGTTGCTGTTCAGGTATGCTGCATTATTTTCCTTAAATCTCGATTCACTTTTACATGTCTCATAATTTCCAATATTTACTTTTATAATCTGATACAAGATAATTAAAGAATATCTCTTTTCTCTTAATGATAAACAAATTAGCATATTAGCGCATTTATCATCATTTCATTTATATATGTATCACTAATAATGTCATATATATATATATACCACTGCGTAGCAAGGTAAATGGATGGTCTCTCATGTACGTAGGCGCCTACATATATATATATATATATATATATATATATATATATATATATATATATGCAGAGTTTCAATTTGTATGATTCAAATGATTATATTGTAGGAACAATTAAATTTATATGAAGGTAGACCATCCATGTACGCACAGGATTCGCGTGCTCGTCCACCACAAGTTGTAGATGACAGTAGTTCGAGAATTTATTTTAGTTATCCAGGAAGTTCCGGTGGAGGTGGTGGTCTCTTATCCTATATTTTTTCTATGTGTTACAACATAGTGAGCAGTATCCTACAGTTGTTGTTTGCAATATTTAGGAGGAACGTTAGACCTGGTAAATAATAGATATGATAAGAAACAGTCTTTAGTACATCTCTTTTTCTTTTTTTTTTTCTATTCTTTCTCATTCTTGTTCTATTTCTTTCTCATTCTTGTTCTATTTCTTTCTCATTCTTGTTTAAATTTAAATTTTCAATTCTAATTTTTCAATATATATTATTTGAATTCTATTCAAATTTTATGCAATAATCTTATCCAATAATTGCAAATTTATAAAAATTGATTTCAACAATTTATAAGATTTTGGTAATTATTTTTTTTATCGTGTATATATATCGATTTATAATTTGTACACTCCAATTGAAGCCAATATATAATATCTTTTAAGTATCCTCCGATCCAGTGGAAGATGTAGTCAACTTTATTAGGTCTTACGAGGAGCGTTATAGTAACATTCATCCAGTATTTTATCAAGGCTCATACAGCCAAGCTCTTTCGGATGCAAAACAAGAATTAAGATTTTTATTGGTATATTTGCATAAAGATGAGACACAAGAAGTTGACCAATGGTGCAGGTAATCTTGCGACAGCAAATTATTTCCTAAATGAAAATAGCACTTATACACATACATACATATCATAAATGATATAATGTAGCAAGAAGTGTGCCTTTCTTCCAGAAATACGCTGCGTGATCCAGAAGTGATACGGTACATAAACATACATACTTTGTTCTGGGCATGTAATGTAAAATCTGGAGAGGGTTACAAAGTTGCGGAAGCGCTGAAATCGGGTTCATATCCCTTTTTGGCACTTATCGTGCTGAAAGACAATAGAATGACAATAGTCGGTCGGTATGTAGTTAATTCGTTTATATGCGCTTTGAAGTGAATATTTGTATATATGTCTAAATGTTCGCGATTTAATTAATATGATTTTATCTTTTGTACAGATTAGAAGGTGCACCATCTTCTGCTGATTTAACATCGCGTTTGCAAACAATCATAGAACGTAATGAAATTAATTTGATCCAAGCACGTCGGGATAGGTAAATACGAATAAAATTTTAGAGAATCCCAATTTAAAAAAACAAAAGAAAGGGGGAGATATATCTGGCATCTGATCAAAACTTGCGCTTTTTTTGAAAATCTATTGATACATAAAAATTGAGAAATTAACGTTATTTATCAAAATTGTTTTTGTATGGATATTTTAGAGCAGAGCGTAGCGCGGCGCAATCGCTCCGACAGCAACAGGATCGCGCTTACGAGGAGTCGTTACGCGCGGATCAAGAGAAAGATCGCAGAAGAGAGGAGGAGCGAAGAGCACGGGAGGAGAAAGAGGCCCGAGAGAAAGAACAATTGAACGCGCAAGAGCTAGAGATACAACGTATACAACTCGAGAAGGAGCTTACTATTAGCAAAGTACCCCTCGAGCCGGAACCGTCTAATCCTAACGCGTGTCATCTTCAAATTAAGCTTGGAGAGAGAACGATGAAAAGAAGATTCCTTATGACTGACACAGTTGAGGTAATTCACACGCGATGAAATCGTATAAATATATAGATTAGAAATATTATTACTTATATAGTTGATGTGCAAGATGAAACATTTGCAAAAATTATTTGATGTTTGCATCTGTTTGAAAATTTCTCTAATAATTATTCGCCAGATTGACTTTTATTGTAAAAAATATCAAACTATATTTTTTTTTCTTTCTTTCTCTTTCAGGACGTTTATCACTGGATATTCAGTCAGTCAGATTCTCCGGCGAGTTTTGAAATAACAACGAGTTATCCCAGGAGAATTATCTATCCTTGTAGAGATATCTTAACTCTATTGGATGCCGGCTTAACTCATAGAGAGGTCCTGCACATCAACGATCTAGATGATTAATTACGATCGTTATTTCGATACAATATTCTTCGAATTTTAGTGTCATTCCATGGGAAAAATGATACTGTTGTAAGAGACACTTATTAAGAGATAATACGATGCGCGCGACCATCTATACACACGCAAAATACACATGCGTATATATATATATATATATATATATTTGATACATTCTAGTACTTTATGTGAGATATAACTTACTGTATGCAAAAGAAATATGATTATAATTACGTACGATTGTCATGAAATATACAAAAATTATAAAAATCAAAAAAAAAAACAAAGTATGTATTTGTTACATTGCAGCTCATTAAAATTACCAGTGTTAATAATTGATACATTTATAGTACACTACTGCACTCATCAAAAAAACACATTTCGAATAGTAAGAAAAAGTTATATAAAAGTAAGAATGCCTATTAAATATTAAAAATTTTCTGTATAACAAATGAGCGATTTCGTAAACGAAAATTGTACAACAAACTCTATTTCTTTTATATCTGCTGATTAAATGTTCTCAACATTAAAGAGCGTACATGTGATATGTATATAACATATAAACACATGTTTCAACATTGGAAAAATTTCGATGCATACTTAATTTCGTTTTCCTTGTTCATTTCCATTCATTTTCTTTGTTCGTGAAATGTACACTGATTTTAATATAGATAAATATAAAAAGAAGCATTTTGCATAATATTACGCGTTTAAAGCGCAATCAAACATCACATTCGTTGTTAGTCTCATATATATGTAATTATAATATACATATAAGTAATTAGTATTGAGAAAAAATAAATAGTAGTTTATTTATAAGCTACATATCAATAGCAATAGTAAAATTTTCAATAGAAAATACTTATCGACTGATTATAATATTATATTCAATAAGACTCGCGCGTATAGCTATTATCTTTGAATACGCGAGAACGTGTACGAAAAAAAAAAAACGAAAAAAAAACAGAACCTTATCAGTTATCAACCGGTATCGTCACATTTATTTATAGAACGATGACAAAAGTATCCATTTCACAATTTTACGCAATGTTGCCTGCTGTTATAAGTAATATATTCTTTTTCTTTTTTTTTTTTTATGCTATGATAATGTGTATATATATATACATATATATACATATAAAAGATTTAATACATTTCTGTTCTGATCAAAATTTTTTCTTTTAATTTCAAGATATATATTTTTTTGGAGTTTTATATAATGTACATTTAGCTCTGGATTATATATACAAATTCATCGTTTCGTCATATTATGCTGTATGTATTTACAGTAAGTGGGCGTAAATACAATTGTGAAAGCAGAAATATTCCATACCCTGTTAATGACATTTATCGGTATTTCTGTTAATTGTTGAAAATTTTGAAATTGTTGCTAAAGAAGCTAAGAATTTGTTGCTTACTACTATGACACAGTAGCAGATTTGATAAAACTCCTATACACAATATTCTATCAATTTTCCGCTTTGTAATATAATATTTTTCTGTTACCATATTTTTTAACAAATACCAATATAAAATACCAACACATGTTAACGCAGTATGGAATACTGCTGGGATGCAGAAAAGAATTATCTGTTGGATCTTTTTAACATTCTATTTCGAATTTTTAGGTTTTGGCGATATCTTTGCTCTCTCCTTGGAGTATTGCGCGCGACTGTATGCGCGCAGAGTGTTATATACTTTATTGTTTAGTTTGACATCAAACCCACCTGTATCTCCTGTATGGATACCTGGTGGAAATTGTAACACCCGACAAGCATTTATTCTGGAAGACATTAACATGTCATGTTTTGTAACAATCTGAGAATCTTTGCCAATCTTCTTATAACCACAACGTGGTATCGAAGCATATTCTTTTTCTATGCTCTGAAAAAAGTAATATATACAGCATATTTTACAACATGCAATACATATATATAAATAAGTTCTTAATCTATACAATGTTTTATATATATCTCATTGTATACAACACTTACGACAAAACGATCAAAGTCCCTGTTGCTATCATCCACATTAAAGTCTCCATTTTCTTCATCCTTAGTATCATGCGAAGAGTTACGGTAATTACTATACGAGATACTCACTGAAATAAAAGAAATAATTTTAAATAGCCGCGCGCGCCCGCATACTATTTATTTTTTTCTATCACCTTTCGAATCGCGATTAAATTTTTCTTCTGTGCGCTTTAACATCGTATCGTACTCCCAATTAAACTGTGTTTGCAATAAATTCGCTATAACCTCATCACTACCGGTATCGCTCGCATCATACGTTTCTCCCATATTTTTGTCTGTCTTTTTGTTCGCGCCATCGTCATTGAAATATTGTTTCAATTCTCTGTGTGGCAATAAAAAAATAATTTTAGACACGAAATCACACAAATCAAACGTGTCAATTCTATGTTTTGATTCCAATTTTGAAAAACGTTAACGTAATAACTTGAGATAATATTACAATAAAACGAAGGTCACATCATCGCGCGCATTTCGTTGAATATCATTAATCTTATAATGTGATAAATTATCAGAATGTGTAGCAATGCGCAGTTATATATTTCTCACGATAGATGCATTGTGCGTCATAAAAAATTAAAAGTATCAATTATTTTTTATATATGAAAATTATTCGATACAGATAACCGATTCGTCGCAGGAAAGGAAGTTGGGATATTTATATACCTCTCTTGCATACTCGCGGCCAGCTGTTCTGATGTGATATCCAGTAGATTGACAGGATTCTCTAAGGGTTGTATTTTCGCCCATACTTTCGGAGTTGCCATTGTTTTAATTAATAGGTATATTTGATCGAAATGAGACTAAAATTGTACGATACGAATACGATCGACGATCGTCCAGAAGTTGAGGAATGAGAAGGAATACAATACGTACAAGATACGCGACTCCTTCGTCAAAACACCGTTCTCCTTGTCGTCGGGAGAACGTCAGAACGTGTTGTCCGAATTCCGAATAAACGTTCCGTAACGTACTCGGCAATCCGATAAAACAGTGTCACCTGTGTATCTCCCTCGGGATCGACTTTATCGACGGTAAAAAAAACATTCTATAATCTCACTTATCAACTATCGATAACAAACTGCTTTAATGTATATAAAATAGAACGCGCAATCATATTTTTATATAATTAGTTTTCTATGAATAAATCGATTTTTGTATAAAATTTTATTGCATATAAAAAGTTGTGTATTCGTTATAAAAAAAAAACTCATATTCCTTTGAATTGATTATATGCTTATTAAAAATACATCCCTCTCTTCATTTTCTATTTCTATTTTATAATACACATACACACACGCACACACACACACACACACACATACACAGTATATCTATTTATTGAATATTAAAACAAATAATATATATTATTTAATCCTCATTACTCATTACCAATTACACATATACTTCTAAGGTACAATTTGTTAGTAAACGAACACACTTTTAATTATTATTAATTTATTCCAGTAGATCTAATACATACACAAACCGATTCTTTTTTTTTTTTTGTCTTTCTAATAATATTCCATTCACTCCATTTCGCGTATCTCAAATCGTCCTCCAAATTCCATAGCTAAACTCTAAAACCTAACCTTAGAAACTTAGCTATGCCAAAAGCAATGGTTTGGCAAGTTTATTAACGAGAAAGTAAAATGGTTCTCTATAGTTTTTGAAACAGGGTAGAAAAAGACTGAACAATACATGCGTATGCTTATTTAAAATCGTCGATATTTGGTAGTACGATCGCATTAGTTTACTCTACGGTAATGCATGGGGCACGGCTGGTGTCTCTCAAATTTACAAGTTTAGTATGTTGTAAATCGTATATTATCGGATGGTTTTTTTATAAATACGATGATCTAATATTATGTACAGAGATATTATCGGTGTCATACGTATAAAGATAGCTGCTACACTTATTTTCAAACTATACGAACATTAACAAAATGCACAATGCCATGTTACGGCTCCGATTTTAGTATAAAACAAATCTGCTCATCCAAAAGAGAATAAAAATGATCCGCTCTTTTTCTAACATAATAAAAACGCACTCACAAAGAAGGTAAAAAAAATTTATTTTGGACAATCGTCGTTCCTTTCTTATCGAAAGCGCGAGATAATTCTCCAAATTATCCTAACAAGTACCTAAAATAATTGAAACGTAGGGAAACGAATTGCATCGTATCGAAATTATACCCATGCATTACAATAGTGCATATTACGCGGTAAAGTTCTCTCAACTACTTGTCAAATGTCAGTCTTGACCTAATCTGATTGCCGTCGTTCATTTGCAGTGAACGTACAAATTAAAATAAACCGTGACCCTTAAAGTACCGTGTGTGAATGTTGTAAAAGTTTACCGCGCTTACACGTAATCTATTGTCGCAAAAATTTGACATAAATAAATTACAAGTGACAAATTATTTGAATTAGCGCACCTTAAAGGTAACGACATGGAGATTTGCATTGAATTAAAAGGTCTTAAATAGACTTAAGTAAATAATGTACTCCGGTACTCTTACGTGTGCGATACATTAAAAGCTAAACGGGATGTATAAATCATATATTCTTAAAAGAGAATCTTAAGAAAATAACCTACGTCATTTCCTATAAAGAACGTATGTATAAATACAAAGAATGTGAACTCTTGAATCTAGATGCCGAATGTACACATAATAAATACAGAAGTAATGCAACTCGTAATTTATAAAGTATTATGTTTTTACGCGCTTGGAAATCGCCTCGTATTCTTTTTCTAGAAAAATTCAGCTAAAAACTGCAATTTACGAAAAATAATATTACAGCGCAAAACGATTATCTCGCGGGACAGTTCGATTTGCGCTATTTTTAGTCCTTGTTTGAGCCATTGTGTTCCAGCACTTAATATTCAGGCTGTAACGTAAATAATATATTCGTTACACACGAGAAAATCAAAAATTGCATTTAAAAATTCATAGTCAAACAATCAATAATCATCTTGTTTATATCTTTGTAAATAACTGTTACAATATCACACCCGATCTACCATTATTATAAACACATCACAAACCTGTAAAACCTTGCGGTGGTTGCCCGGGTACTGAGTATTGTGGTCGGAAGTTTCCGAAATTAGCTGCACCCGCGAAGGTGGCCGGCAATTGTCCTCCGGAGAAACCGGCCGGGAATTGTTGCGCTAGCAATGCGGCTTGACCCGTCTGAGAAGTGCTACCGCCAGGTGCCGTCGCCGCTAATCGGCTCAGTATAGATCTTTCGGACATTTGGAGTCTCTGAGCAACCGGTGGAATGCGAGCCAATGTCGCCGGCAAGCGGCTGACATCCGATTTCATGTCGGAGAGCAATTCCTCTAACTGATTTAACACCTATAAAAGTACAGTTTCCACATTAAGAGATCTTTGATATTCACCAAATCTTTGCATTTTGAGAACATTTGTTTTGAACATGTAACACACAATTTATAGATTTATTAATCGAACCAACCTTATGCAGCACAGCATTCGCCGGTTTATTACCAGCAAGGCTCTCTTTACTAAGATGTTGATGGGATTCGGCAAGACATTCGACTTCAGCGAAACGCGCATTAAGACTCATGGCAGGATGATTAGGATCTTGCGTAAGATTCAGGTAGGCAGCTCGCCTCAACTGCTCTTCTATTACCAATGCCTGTTCTAAGAGTTTAAAGCGTCTTGCCAGGAATTTATTTTTTATTTCCAAAAAGTTGCCTTTTCCCATGTCCATCTTAAATGGCTCGTTGATAATTGCAAATCTGCAATAAGTACAGTAATCAAGTATGATTAAAAACCAGACAAATTGAATAATAGCAATCGTTAAATCATACTCTTGAAATTAGAGTTTATAGATTATTCTGTGATTTGGAGTTATATAAATAAATGCTATCTAAATACTCGATATTTTTAACAGTCGTAGGAAATATAAGAATAATTAAAGCAATGGTATTATTATCGAGGATATTTGTATTCTTGGAAAGTTTCTATATTACCGAATATCGTTTTGTATATCTTGCCAGCGCCCATAACCGTGGGTGACGATACCAGCTAGAAGCCAATAATCATGTCGGCGATGCCAGATATCATATTCGCGGCCTGGCACAGCAGCTTTCTCCTCGTTCAGCCAAAGTGTATGTAATTCCGTGAATCCGCCGTCGGCTATATTAAACATAAACTTACGCTTAGGCTTTACCACATCTGGATCACAGTCCTTTACATCTTTTTCTTTATCTTTCTCCTACAAAAAAAAAGTAGCATAAATTAAGCTGCTTAAATGCACGCTTCTTCATCTAGCATCCCGCACGAATAAATACCTCTTTCTTCTCAACTTCCTCCTCATCGTCCTTGACAATAACGACATCTTCTTCCGGTTCCGATTTCATCTTATTTTCACTATTCTCCATCTTATCATCATGCTTCGTTACAGTCTTCTCATCTTTCGCATCAGACTTGTCCTTCTCCTTTTCTGCGGTATCCGTTTCAGCATCCTTTTCCTCCTTTTTAGCATCCTCCTTTTCCTTATCTTTCTCGGAGTTCACTTCATCGTCCTCTTTCTTCGGGTCTTCCTTCGAATCTTTCGCATCGCTACCCTACAATAAAAGATAATTATCCATTAACATATATTTATAGGAAGTGATATTTTAAGATTTACTTTTCTGATCAAATAAACAATATTTCGCGGCTTTCGGAGGATTCGATCCATCTGATACCAACCTCTTTATCCTTGGATTCATCTCGAGATTCTTTAGCTTCCGAAGAATCGGAATTTGCTTTGTTAATCTCGTTGCTCGTACCAGAGATCGAAGTAGGGGTAGGCGTAGCAGCGGGGCTAGGACTTGGAGCATTTGAGGTAGCCGGTGTAGCACTGGTACTACTAGTACCAGTCGCTGCATCTCCGACACCCTCCACTTTTACAGGTTCCACTGGTTTACGTATCATTTCCGGCATCGAATAATAGCCATTGATGTGTTCAAATTCTTGAACCTAAACAACATATATCCTGTATCCTATGTTTTTAATACGGGGGAGAGAGATGAGGGGGGCGAGTTAAAAATGGCGCTTCATCGTGCAATAGATACCTTTTTTCTAATCAAAGACATCACGCCGATTCTCGTTAGTACATGCTGTCGACTAAGACCCTCTCTCGGAACACCGTCAGCAAATGTTTCCGCATTATCGGCACCTGGTTCGCAGAGATGTCGCATAAAGAGCGAAACATAGGCTTTGAAATTCTTCTCAGATTTACCACGCAAGTCGCGTACCAACCTGAATGATAGAGGATTTTAGATAAAAAATTGTATTACTTATATAGAAGGACAAATATTATAATTTAAACAATACAAAAGAATAACAACTATAGCTTCTATTTCATAATATTGCAATGTTGTAATATACATGCACAACATTCACGATACATGTTCATACTAAGTATAATAAAAAATTGTACAAGACGATTCTAAAACACAGATGTGTCGTGATAATAATTATATAAAATAAAGCAACTAACCATTGAGAATTGAAAGCGTCTTGTGGTGGCATTCCATAGCGCATAATTGCATTGAGGAATGCTTTCCGTTGTCTAGCATTAAAACCTAGTACCTGTGAAAAATATACATGTAAAAACGCAAAATAATTGTAATACGTTTATTTTTAAATAAAGTGAAAATTATTTCGATTTTATTCTTAAGTCTTTCTTTTTTAAGCCCACACAAATGAAATGTAGAGATATATGTGAAAAGAGTATGTATAAAGTATATATCGTATCTTTTTTAAACAAATACTAACCTCAATATTTCCATTTACTCTGGCAAGTAGAGGCGGTAAAGGTCTGTCTTTTTCGTCGCGTCTCTCCAATCTTCGTCTGCTTCTACGAGATAATAAATCTCCGTCTCCTTTCTCGTCGAAATCGTCGTCCTCTTTATCGTCGTCGCTGGGCGCACTAAAGTCA